ATCTGAGTGAGTACAAGATATGCAGTGGAGAGAGAGTTACTGTGCTGCCTTCACAGAAGAAGCTCTCTGTGTGGAACTCTTCCAAGCGTGTAGAGAAGCCGAGGAGGATCTCTGTTGATGGGAGGGTAAGTGTTGGTTTAGATAGAGCGTTTGAGAAGATGAATATGTGGGGAAGTGAAAGCGGTGAAGGTGCTGCTGATATTGACTCCACCACAAGGAGAGATTTAGATGCTGAGATAATGAGACTTGAGGCTGAAGAATTCATTCAGAGCTTGAAACCTAGCCCTGTGCCTATGAGATTGCCAAGAGCAGGGAAGAAGCAAGGCGAAACAATATCCAAAGGTCATAGGAACTACGAACTTATGCTTAATCTACAGCTTGGAATTAGGTAATTATCTCACTCAAGAGCTGGCCGTCTTTTTGCATGTGTAAGCGAAATGGTGGCGATCCTAAAAAAGGAAATTCTTACATTTTTAAAATTTGATATATAAATTATGATTTAAAATTTTGGTCTTTAAATTATATTTCTAAATATATGAAATATAATTTTAAAATAAATTTAAACATATATAAGTGGAGTTATTAACTTTTAAAACTATGTTATTACTTTTTCAAATATACTGTTAATATTTTTTTGTGAACATGACTAAAATTAATTTGAAACAGCCCTGATCTCACTTTACCTCCTCACTGGTTATAACAAATGAAGCTTTGTCGATTTCTTATGATTTTGTTTAAGCAGACATGCTGTCGGAAAACAAGCTGCTGTTGTGTCTCTTGATCTTAAGCATTCAGCTTTTGATCCAAAGGAGAAACTATGGACAAGATTTCCACCAGAAGGAACCAAATACACACCTCCTCATCAATCTACTGAATTCAAATGGAAAGACTATTGCCCATTAGTTTTTAGGTGAGAAACCATCACACTAACCTCTCTGGCATTAGTTCTCATTGGTCCTTATTCTTACGCTTTTTATGCTAATTTAATTAGTTTGTGTTTCAAAAAAAAAAAAAAAAAAAAAAAATGCTAATTTAATTAGTTTATATATATCTCCAGGAGCTTGAGAAAGCTATTCAAAGTAGACCCAGCTGATTACATGTTATCAATCTGCGGTGATGATGCCCTTAGGGAGCTATCATCCCCTGGTAAAAGTGGAAGCTTTTTCTACCTAACAAACGATGACCGCTACATGATAAAGACAATAAAGAAGTCTGAAACTAAAGTAAGTAAAGTTACCAAGTGAAGAGTGTGTGGCTGCTACACATACTGACTTCTTTATGGGATTAACATGATGGCAGGTGCTTCTAAGAATGCTTGCAGCGTATTACAACCATGTTAGAGCATTTGAGAACACTTTGGTGATTAGATTCTACGGTCTACACTGTGTGAAATTGACTGGGACAATCCAAAAGAAGGTAAGAAAATGATAACAATGCTCAAACCGTCTTCTTATTCAAGCAATGCTAACTAAAATAAAATATAAAAACAATTGCAGGTGCGGTTCGTTATTATGGGAAACCTATTCTGTTCTGAGTACTCTGTTCACAGACGCTTTGATCTTAAAGGATCTTCTCTTGGTCGTACAACTGATAAGCCTGAATCAGAAATCAACTCAAACACAATCTTGAAAGATCTTGATCTGAACTTCATTTTCCGATTACAGAAAGCTTGGTACCAAGAGTTCATCAGGTTAGAGAACCATCAATCAATCTCTTTCCATTGATTATACTGTTATGACCAGTTAATGAGAGGATAATGATACTTCCCTATATCTTAGGAGCCTTAGACTAATTTAGTTTCCTATCCCTAGTTAGATTATGCTATTCAACGTTGTATATATACTTTACCTTGATTGATGAATAAGATACACACTTCTGCATACTTTATTGTACCAGTGTTCACAAATCAGTTTACGTGGCAACTCAGTCATAAGCGAAACGATTTTTTTTTTTTAAATGGTTTAGGTAGTCTTTCCATACAAAGCGCTTATTTACAGCCTAACGATTTTTGTAACATTTATTTATGACCATTGTGTTTTTTTTTCTTCAGACAAGTCGATAAAGACTGCGAGTTTCTAGAACAGGAGAGAATCATGGACTACAGCCTTCTTGTTGGGATTCATTTCAGAGAAGCATCAGTGGCTGGAGAGCTGATTCCTTCTGGAGCCCGCACGCCTAAGGGTTCGTACTCCCTAAAGATCATTTCTCTCCATTAGAATGCATTAAGTAACTATGTTTCTTTGTCAAGTACAGGTGAATTTGAAGACGAATCAGCTCCTCGTCTCTCTAGAGCAGACGTTGATCAGCTTCTATCTGATCCCACAAGGTAAAACGCACAAACTCAGAATTAGAAATTTGTCTTTTTCTCAAGATTGTGGAGTCAAGGGAATGGGTTTATTGTTGTAGGTGGGCTAGTATCAGACTTGGAGGAAACATGCCGGCTCGAGCAGAGAGGACAATGAGAAGGAGTGACTATGAGTTAGTTGGGGAACCAACAGGAGAGTACTACGAGGTTGTCATGATCTTTGGAATCATAGACATTCTTCAAGATTACGACATCAGCAAGAAACTTGAACACGCTTACAAGAGCATCCAGTACGATCCTACTTCAATCTCAGCCGTTGATCCAAGGTTGTACTCGAGACGTTTCCGTGATTTCATCTTCAAGGTCATCACTGAGGACGATTGAAACAAAGTCTCCTCTGTTTCTGGCCTTCTCCAAGAAAAAAAGGTTTAGGTATATATACTCACATATGGCAAAATGGCTCTGGTGCCATGCAGCCACAAATTTTTAAAAATATAAACTGTTATGATTTAATAATAAACTATGTAACAACAGTAGACATCTATAGCAGTGAACGTTGGTCCTTTGTGTTCTCTTCTATTGTTTTGTTTGGCGTCGTTATTGCTAAAGTATTTCACGAATATTGACTTATTAATTTTTATTTTCAAGAGAAAGAACAACCGAGACTAGTCATGACTCTTTACACCTTTATGGTTCAAAGATCATAGAAAATACCAAAATATTTTTACTTACTCAACTTGCATACCTGATATCCCTTGTATCTCATTATCACGTGAGGCTTATCTCACTCCCAATGCAATGTTCTTAGCATATTCTCTTCGAAATTTCAAATATAATGGACATATCAAAAGATTTAGATATAATGGACATTTTCACTTGCTCTTGTAGTTCTGGTATATATACTTTAAGCTCTGTGTGAAACGGTAGCAGGAAAACTTACCTTCTTCGGCAAGATAGTAAATGAAAAAATGTTCTTAGCATTCTTCTTCTACCTGGTATAGATGCAGTGATAAACTTATTTATTTTGTTTAGTTTCATGAAGTTGCAACTTCAAATTAAATAATATGTTAAAATTATTGGTATATTTGATATCTCCTAAACTTGAGACGTGATTTGTAAAGTTTGCTTACATGTCATTACCATATTTATCTTATATACTAAAACAGAAGTCATGACTTGACTTCATGTGTGATATTTTAAAAAAATGGACTATTACTAGAAAGTTATGTTATATTAACTCTCTAATAATCTTATCATTATTATATCTTATGAAAAATCATATCTATAATAAAAAATATATGTTTAACAATTTGATTTTGGTAAATTACCCCACACCTTCCAACTTAGTCACGTAAAAATATGTCAATAATTATAAGTTTATGAATCTTCTATTATTTATAAGGAAATATGTCAATAATAGTTAAATGCATCCACGATATATTAACAAAAATTACAGATTAGTAATATGGAATATTTATATATCCTAACAAAATTTACACGCTATATATATTAGATAAATTTATTTCGATGTAAATTTTTAAAATTATATTGTCTAATAAAATAAATTATATAAAAAATTCGTTTTTAATAAAATTCTTTATAATATTAATTTATGAAGCTATAAGTTTAGTTTTTAGCAAAAATTTCTTAGAAGTTTATATTATCTTTGCAAATTAAAGTATACTAATATTTAATCAAGCTCTATTTATATTACTTTATCTAAAAACGAAATACTAACCTAACAAACAATAAAATATAGAAGAAGAAACAAACACATGTTTGAAAAACATGTATAATATAGAAAATTTGAAACAATTTATTTGATTAAAACACTTATATATAATATTATTATGTTTGAAAAACATTTACCATACATATCATAAATATGTGGTTACTATAATATATACCAATTTACAAGTGAAAACAAATAAATATAACTAACTATAAACGAAAACAAACACCCGCACGGTTGCGCGGGTCAAAATCTAGTTTTTATTAAAAAAATATAACATGCATGACTTAGTAAAAATGATAACATCGCTCATGAACATTTGCATTCAATGTTGATTAATAATTTTTAAAATATGACACTAACTCATAAATCACCGCTAAATTAAATATATTCAAATATAACATTCAAATAATAGAAATAGAAATAGAAATATAATGATATTTAAAAAGTTCAAAAAATATTATTTAGTTTTTTTGCTAATTATATAATTTTAGATTACTAAAATAATTTCTTCAAAACTCAATGCAAATTTTACAATTTATAAAATTCTAACTCTGACACCATTAATTTCTGTTTGATATCTACAAAATTGTAAAATACTATTTAGTTTTAGTTTTTACAACGATAAGAAGAACGATTTCTAACAAGAATTCCTCTTATATACAATTTCATTTAAGATGGTTTAACTTTTTGACAGCAGATATTTTAAATAAATTAAGTAGATACAAAATATAGCCTAACTTCTAATTTTAAATATATTTAAATATATCCATTTAAATATATTTAAAATAAATAAATTTATCTTAATCTTAAATTTTCCATTTATTTAAATCAAAATTAAAAATATAAGCTACACAGTAATAAATATGACTATTAACAAAATGTTATTTTGTAATTTAATTTAATATTAAAATTTTATTTTTGCGCATTGCAGAGGAAAACACATAATCCCTTGTTAATCACTCACTCCCATGCAAGATTCCTAACATATTCTCTTAAAATTTCCAAATATAATGGATCTGAAGTTGGAAGAGATGAGCGGAGAGATGAGAACAAAGAGTTGATCTTCCTGCGACGGTGACGCTCACTAGCATTGTGATTGAACTTCTTGATCACAACTGGATTGTTGTCTATTCCAGTTCCTCCGACGAAACAGAAATCCCTAAGCTGTTCTGATGGTTAGCCACTCCATAAGTACCTGAGAATCAAGAAACGTCTCCGGCAAGGTAGTAGCTCCCGTATTCTCCCGTCGACGGCCACCCGAAGTTTGGGAACAAAGGAAAGGAGACTAATGCACACATTTTAGCTTATTGAGGATACATTTTCTTGAATACGTTTTCTAGTTCACTTCTTGAAGCTGTTTTGGTTGGAACATTAACAAAGGATTGAATGAAGAAACAAATCTCTATGTTTGTTAATTATTAACCAAGAAACTATATAATTTTATTCGTTGACTATCTAACTAATAATATAACCTATACGACTTTTATAATTATAAATAGAAATAATCAGGTCTCTGTAGAGGCATAGAGGGCATATGTTGAGACGAGCCAGAGCCTATGTTCCACACATGAAGTAAGTCTAATCACCAATATTTTATAAGAACATGAATATTAATTACATGTCAGAACTATAATAAGATCAATATTTACATACCAAAAGATGACTCAGCAAGTGGAAATAGGTGGAAATGATTGGAGGCAAGTGGAAATAGGTGGACGATGCTTTGAACGTCGTCTTCGTCCCAAACGTTTTCGATGTTGTAAGCCTATACATAAGCTTCTTCATGCAGGGCCGGCTCAACATATATTTGGGTCCTTGGGCAAATTTTCTTTTTGACTTTTAATATTTATATTTATTAAAAAATTAAATATTTTTTAAAAATTTTAACATCAACATCTTTCAAAAATTTGTTATGAAAATAAATTATGTATATGTAAAATATTTTAGGACCCCTGTTCAACTAAAATTTATAAATATTTAAAATTTTCTATATAAAAATATGTATATATAAAAAATATTGGGCCCTTTAATTAATAAAATCGGGAGGACACGGGTTTATACCCGGGACGGTCGCATTGTTTGTCCCCCATGTAAGTCGGCCTTGTCTTCATGGTGTAAGCCTATACATAAGCATTTTGAATTTCTTAAAATAAATCCAACATTGTAGTTTAATACAACAAATCCATTATAATATCTATTAATTAGGCCAACTGGATGCCATTGCCATATATCTAAACTAAAATATGTTAATAGTTTAGCTATTCTTCCAAGAACTGGTCAATAAAAATTTCCAAGTGTAAATGTGAACCAATGACTTAATGAGGTTTCAAAGATTCTTATAGAGACCAACATTTCCAAAACTAATATAATACTTTGAAAGCTACAGCTATTCTCCTGTAAATTCATATTCTTATTTCACAACATATACACATGTTTTAAGTTTTAACCAAGCCAAAGAGACCAATCTCTCTAAACCAAAACATCTTATTTTATTTTCTTACTACCAAATTAAACCTAATCCCATGATTTATATAAAATTTTATAACGAAAACCAAAATTTAAGTTTTTCATTACCGCACCATCAGTCTATTCTACAAGACTACAACACTCATATTGGGTCGTCAATCTTCAGTTTTACATTAATAACTAAAAAAAACATTAATTATTAAATTTGAATTTATTTTAAAACAAATATATGGACAAATGTATTGTATACAGACAACTGGATGATGTAACCGACAAATATGAACGCATGCATTGTTAAAATATATATGAACAAATGCATGAAACCTAGGGTGGCACTTTGATTTTATTACGGATTCGGTTTGGTTTGAGTTATTTGGATCTAAGAAAACTTTAATCAAAGTTAATTCATATTAGTTTGGTTTTGTTTATGTTCGGTTTGATTTGGTTTGATTTGTGTTCGGTATGATTTTAATTTGGCTTAGTTTGTGTTTGATTCGGTTTAATATGGTTTTATTTGTATTTTTCAATTCAATTGACCTGACATTTTAATTTTGTTCTAGTTCAATTACAAAAATATAATTCATAAAAACATTAGCAAATCATCATTTCACACTAAATCATTGTTTTTCCATATTTAAACATAAAATCAAACATCACAATAAATATTTACAAGATGTAATCTAATAATTTTATATTATTATCTTCAAACTTAATATAAAATCATAAAAGTATTCGGTTTTAATTTTACTATATAAATTCATATTTTTTAGTTTTGTTTATTCTATTCATTTAGAAGTAAAATGTATAAAATTATTATTTATTTAGGTTAAATTATTAAGTATATTAAATCTAATATTATTACTATATTTAGTTAATCTAATTAAAAACTACTTTGGTTTTTCGGTTTGGTGCGGTTTAAAATCAAACCAAATCGAACCATTCGGATTGATAAAATTTTAAACCAAATAGTTTAGATATATACTTTAGTTCGGTTTGGATCGGTTTGGGTTTCGTTGGTTTGGTTTGGTTCGGGTTTTTTGTCCACCCCTAATGAAACCTACATGAAGTATGATTGTAGTTTCGAAGCAAGTTGTTTAATCTTTGTAAATAAAAACTTCGGTGCCTATTTCAAAAGCATGGATCAAAAGTCAATTTTTTTGAAAGTTTCCACATATTCCAAAATAGGCGTTTGCTAGAAATTATGTAGGAAACATGTGGAAACACATCAGAAATTCGGCAAAAACATATATCTGTTTATTTCCCCAAATAATTGTAGTTTTTGTAATAGTTTATTAATTTGTTGCAGTTTGAGTTCTTTTATCAGATGGACCAGTTGGCGAAGGCTTCACTCATCCCTCGGACTCGGGAGAAACTCGGATCACCGATATAAATTAATAAAAGTCGATAAAAATAATGTAAAAGATACTAAAATTTGTTTAAATAAGAATCAAAGTGTTACTCTAAGATAAATATATGAGAATGTTACTATTCTTGTTCATATTATTCTTACTAGTTTTTCAGTGAGAAAATTTTTAAACTTAAATTATATTTAATAACTAATTTTATTAATATTATAGATTTTCTTAAAATTATTTAAATATATATTTGATTTAGTTAAACATTAAATTAAGATAAAATAATTTTATTTCTTTAAAATTAGAATATATATATATATATATGTATATGTATATATTTAAAATTATAATCTTAGATAGATTTTTCTATCCATTTATATTGCTTAAATATATTAAGTTAATGTGTGTAAAATTAATAAAGTTCTATAAAATGTATACTTATTAAAATTTAAACTAAACAGTATTTACAAAATTTGTAGATATATAAAAACTAACGATTTTACGGTTAGAAATTTATATATTAAAAAATTATAGTAATTTTTGAAAACTTTAGTAATACAAATTGTATAATACAAAAAATAAAATAGAATAATAATACGAAATTTGTAAATTTATATTTAAATATACTTTTTTTAAAGATCATGTATGAGTTATTATCATATTTGAAATTTTTACCATAAATAAATTTCAACATTAAAGATAAAGTATGAGTTATTATTATATTTAAAAACTTTTACCAAAAATATAAATTAACATTAAATGTAATATCTATGTCATATTTTTCCCTAACCATGTCATCAATTTTAATAATCATGTCACAATTTATTTTGTGAAACTAATTGTAAAGATGACATATAGTAAAATCACTTCATAAATAATATATATGAGATTTTTCTATGAAGCTGCCTATTATGTTCTCTGCTGGTAAGTACTACTTATATATTAATTCCAAGATCAATGGATAACCATGGTCTCTCATTTATTCAAATGATTCTTAAATTAACTCTTTAAATTTCAATTTCCTATATATTAATTGAGAAACATTTGAAAAGTTGTAAGTTTAAGTTTATATTAATTAAAAAATAACTTATCATACATGACATCTCTCTATGTCTTCTATTTCAATTTAGAAAGATTTAGAGCACTTTATATAAAGCATAATTTTAAAATAAGGTTTGTTGGTCTCATATAAAGACATATCAAACTAAATAACATATCAAACTAAATCTTCTATATATTCTTTCCTTAAATAAAACCTACGGAATTACCTAATATTTTTTTAATAATAAAGATTTGTTAACAATCTGTATATTTTATATTATTTTCTTAATTTTTTATTATTAAAATAAATTACACAACTATACTAATCATATAATAAAAATTTAGATTTTTATATGTTGTAGTTTGAAGTTTTCAAAACGAGTATAAATTAATAAAGGGAAAATTGCCAAATATGACTCAAAACTTGATTTGAAATGCAAAAGTAAACCCAAACTTGAATCAAATGCAAAAATAACTTAAAAGGCTATTGAAATTACAACCAACCCCTTGTGAACAAACAAAAAAATGGTATTTTTTTTACGTTTGTAGTCCTCGTAAGTCGTCTGTCCAGACGACTTAACTTAAAGTCGTCCAGACGACTTAACTTAAAGTCGTCCAGACGACTTAACTTAAAGTTGTCTGGGACAGTTTTTCTTAAAAATAATTTAAAAATTCTGTAATAAATATCTTGGTAAATGAAAAATTGGGATTATGTGATTAATATATGTCTTAAGAGATATAAATTAAGATATAACAAAAGTCAGTTGTTTTCAGCATAGATGAGTGAAAGTAGTGAGTCATGATATTCTTTAGTTTAGGTTTCACCAATATATGTTGTAGTATTGTATGTGTTTCTTAGGGTTAGATTTTCGAAAGCATAAATGTTTTTTTGAAAAATTAAAAATTTACCTAAGTGTGTTTATTCTGTGTATAGTAAACACTATTTAAGTATAATTTGATTNATGTGTTTCTTAGGGTTAGATTTTCGAAAGCATAAATGTTTTTTTGAAAAATTAAAAATTTACCTAAGTGTGTTTATTCTGTGTATAGTAAACACTATTTAAGTATAATTTGATTTTATAACGTGGTTAATTAGTTAATTTAGTCAATTTAGTTTAGGGTTTAGGGTTTAGGGTCTGGACAACTGAAATATCAGTCGTCGGTAAATAATTTTACACAGACGACTTACAAGTAAGTCGTACTAATATTCCCGCCTAAAATTTTTAAAAATTTTATTTTCCCGCTTGAATAATTTAAACCAGACAACTTACTTGTAAGTCTTCTGGACGACTTACTTGTAAGTCTTCTGGACGACTTAATTATAAGTCTTCTGGACGACTTATTTCTAAGTCTTCTAGACGACTTACTTGTAAGTCTTCTGGACGACTTACTTGCAAGTCTTCTGGACGACTTACTTGTAAGTCTTCTGGACGACTTACTTGCAAGTCTTCTGGACGACTTACTTGTAAGTCTTCTGGACGACTTACTTGTAAGTCTTCTGGACGACTTACTTCTAAGTCTTCTGGACGACTTACTTGTAAGTCTTCTCAAAAGTCTTCTATTTTAGTTTCCCGTTAAAAATATTTTAGTTTCCCGCTAAAATTATTAAAGTCTCCTGGACAACTTACATTTCAGTCATCTGAAACAAAAATATTTAACCTAATTTTTTTTTGTTTCCCTATATAAAGAAAAATTTACACATTCTCTCTCCTCCTCTCAAATGTCTGCAACAAAAAATGTAATGTTCATCTTTCTAGAACTCTCCAATCTCTCCATAATCTCTTTGAACTTATAAACACCAAACTTTTTATCAATTTATTGTTTTTGTCTCATGTATTTCTCATTAACTTATCTTGTTTTGTAGGTTTAATTCTCATATTCCACTCATTTAAAGATGGATCTATTAACTTTATATGAATTTTTCAGTTATGTCTCATGTTTTTCTCACTAATCTATCTTGTTTTGTTTTGCAGGTTTTTAATCAGATGGTTCTCATCTTCATTTGGATGTATGTTATGTTTTCTAAACAAGTATATATATATCTAATCTTTCACTCATTTTCTGTGTGTTTTAAGCCATTTGAATGTTTTTTGATATGCAGATTTTTCAGATCTGGGTTTGAAATGCAGGTTTTTCAGATCTGGAAGTCTTCTGGACGACTTAGTTATAAGTCTTCTGGACGACTTAAGTAAGTCTTCTGGACGACTTACGTGTAAGTCTTCTGGACGACTTACTTGTAAGTCTTCTGGACGACTTACTTGTAAGTCTTCTGGACGACTTACTTGTAAGTCTTCTGGACGACTTACTTGTAAGTCTTCTGGACGACTTACTTGTAAGTCTTCTGGGCGACTTACTTGTAAGTCTTCTGGGCGACTTACTTATAAGTCTTCTGGACGACTTACTTGTAAGTCTTCTGGACGACTTACTTGTAAGTCTTCTGGACGACTTACTTGTAAGTCTTCTGGACGACTTACGTGTAAGTCTTCTGGACGACTTACGTGTAAGTCTTCTGGACGACTTACTTGTAAGTCTTCTGGACGACTTACTTGTAAGTCTTCTGGACGACTTACTTGTAAATCTTCTGGACGACTTACTTGTATGTCTTCTGGCGACTTACTTGTAAGTCTTCTCGAAAGACTTCTGGGACGACTTACTTGTCTGGACTTTCTGAAAGTTTTCTGACGCTGTCTTCTTTCATATCAAGTGGAGTCCAAGCTTGTCTTTGTAAAGGAATGATCTATTATAGTTTTGTAAAATCAATCCCAAGATGTAATATATGTGCTAACAATGTGTTTACACATGTACAAATCAATGAAATAATAGACTTCAGTAGCTTTTTCATATTTTGGATCTCTCATATGAAATAATAAATCACAATGGACTTCTGCTCATCTTAATAAACAAGAATGTTTGTAGCCTCGTATTGATACAACATTTTAAGAAGCATTTTAACCTTTCTTCCAACAAATCATCATTGGTGTTAAAGCATATTACATGTTTTACAAGGTTGTGTTGAAAAACTTAGTCAAATTTAGTAAAATTAAGGGAGAAAAAATATTTTGAAAATATGAGATTTACATATCATGAAGTTATTTAACACTTGTAAAAACACAAGTAATTCAAAAAATATTTTTACCACTTTATTCAACCAAGAAAATTTAGTAAAATTCACAGAAGATCAAACATTACGGGATTTGATCAAATATTTTTATCACTCTATTCAACCAAGAAAACTTAGTAAAATTCAAAGAAGATCAAACATCCAGCTATAAGACTTTCCAGATGATTTAATTATTAGTCATCTGGGAAGACTAACACAAATTCTTAATACATACTCATAAAGTCTGGCAACTTAGTAGAAGACTTATAATTAAGTCTTCTGGAAAGTCATCTAGCTGGAAGAATTTCCAGATGACTTAATTATTAGTCATCTAAGAAGACTAACACAAATTCTTAATACATACTCATAAAGCCTGGACGACTTAGTAGAAGACTAATAATTAAGTCGTCTGGAAAGTCATCTAGCTGGAAGACTTAACTGTAAGTCTTCCAGACAGGTCATTTTTGCAATTGAAATTTAAATGAGACGACTTACTTCTAAGTCGTCCAGCTTTGTATGTTAAAAAAAAAATCTGGACGACTTATATATAAGTCGTCTAGGAAAAATTGGCTAATTTTGCATTTGACCGAATTGTGTTAGATATTTGACTTTTCTTGGACGACTTACCAGTAAGTCATCTCCGGGAAAGTTAAAATTTCAATATTTTATCAAATCTAGACGACTTACGGATAAGTCGTCTTAAGTTAGTTTTGTAATTGAAAAATAAAACTTTAATTTTAACTTTTCCCAGAAGACTTAATTTAAAGTCGTCCACTCAGACGACTTATTATAAAGTCGTCCGAGATAAGCAAAGTTTGACCGGAAAAAAAATCTGGACGAATTTACTTATCTCAGACGACTTTAGAATAAGTCGTCTGACTGGACGACTTTAAAATAAGTCGTCTGACTCGACGACTTTAAATTAAGTCTTCTGAAAAAAAAAAAAAAATTAAAGTTTTTTTTTTCAATTACAAAACTAACCTAAGACGAATTATCCGTAAGTCGTCTAGATTTAATAAAATATTGAAATTT